GAGGTGATGAACAGAGTCATATATGGGCAAGGAATGCAGCACAACATGTCACTGATCATAAACACTGTGTCAGATTAACGGCCGAAGCCTACACGCAGGATGGCCATCTTTACACCACATTGCCAGACATGGAAGCACAAAAATATTGAACCGCATCCAACCAGCCTCACAGCGAACGCTCGGATCTCTTTTAAGATAAAGTTCACACAGACGGAGCTGCAGAATTTTATCTTTACGGGTCAACATGCTGCAGTAAATACAGCATGAATGCTTGAATGCAATAGTATTTCTTTAATGCACAGCATTAAGAACGGGACTTTCTACAGTTTAAACAGCTGAAACAGCGGGCAAAGCCAGGACGGCACAAGAGGAGAGTGCTTTTCAACGTTCAGGGAATCAACCCCACTTTGAATGTATCAGGAGATGCAGAGAGACACTTCCTGAGCCCTTCGTGAAGGACATTTACACCGTCTCTGTTGAATAAACTTGTGTTTTCTAATAATAAAAAAGACAATTATAATATAACAAGGATGAATTTTCCTCCATCTAAAGAAATGTCCTATAATTCTCTTCAGTCCTATTTAAATTCATCATTCATTATGTCAATGCAGCAATGAAACTCAAATATAATTACAGCGTGTGTCACATTACAGCTGAAGCGTGGCATATGCTGCTGTCACCTACATTACACCTGCGTTCGCCTACGTCAGTCCCAAGAGAAGCTGATCGAACCCGAGACGCTCTGAGCCCAACAAAACTCTGAGCCAGAGTGGTGCCACGGTTCAATGCAAGCTAAATCGCTTCCAGTCTCTAAATGAACAAAGCGCGTTACAGTGAAGTCTCCTTGTGGGTGCTCGCTAAGTGGTGCTGCGGGATCTGCTGAGCGATGTCTTCCTAAAACAATAAAAAAGAGGCATTATTGTGATTAGTCTGCCTGTAAACCTCGTCTCCTACATCCTCAGCCGGTGATTGTGTGTGTCTGTGTGTGTGTGTGTGTGTGTGTGTGTGTGTGTGCTGATTAGTATTACTAACAGTCTTTGAACCTGAATCACACTGGAGTATTTAATCACATCTAATTTAAGTGGCCGTTTGGCCTCCGTTGTTGAACAGACTTGTAATGTGCATTAATCTAGAAGACAGGACTCATCTGTCAGGCACCCCCCCCCACACAGACAGATGCTCTATCTGCTGATCGTGAGTGGGTGAACCCTCTTTCTTTCCTCCTCTCTGGTTTTACTCCCTGCTTAACTCTGACTTGGCCTGTCCCAGACAAACAAAGGATTATCTTCATCCCCCCCCCCAATTGAAAGGGTGACAATGAAATGGTTTTTCATGACAAACTTGTGATTAGTCTTCATAAAAGTCAAACCCGAGCACTGGAAGGTCATGAGGTATGCTAATAAAAGGACGTATAAATCCGACTGCTGGAGCCCTGGTGTCAAAAAGCTGCTCTGCGAGGTAACTGCAGCTTAGCTGACGTGATAAACACGACGCTCAGACAAACAACTGCACAGCCTCAAAGAGAGATAAAGATAGCTCAACTATAGTTTTGGTTTTGTGAGGAAAACGCGCGGTTCTGCAGAACAGCTGAACTGACATTTTATTTATAAGGGGTGAAATTCTCAGCTCGGCTACAACATGTGATTCCAATTGAAGCTTCATGGTCCCTGGGACATATTGAGACATTTGAATCTACAGACGTGGGAGATGGATGGCTAAAGTACATGACTGTGTGATGTGAAGTGTGTGTGTTGGGGCGAGACAATATGGAAAGAAAGAAGTTGAGATGTGAGGCACGAGGAGACAGAAGAGGTGATGAAGATATCTTCGAGGTGGAGCTGCTGCTCAGAGCGCTTTACAAAGGCACGCGGTGCATCGTCAGGTCAGGCAGATTTCTGCGAAACAAAAGGGGTTAAGATGGGTTAACTGGGTACGTTCGCACATCAAAGAGTGAGGTTTAGATGTGAAGAGATACCGTGGAGTTGGAGAGAAGGGATGTGTCAATGTGGAGAAAAACAAACAATAAAAAAGATGGCAAGAGATGAAGGTAGCAGGAGAAAGGGAGTGTTTGACAAGACTGAGTGCCACCTGTGTTGCATGAGCGAGAGGAAAGAGGGAAGAAAAGAAGGGGAGAGGAGAGGAGGAAGGGAAGAAAGGAGCAAAGGTAAAGATTTAGGAGTCCCAGCATACCCTAAATCAGCTCAGCGCACTGCATGTTGTTATTCCTAGGTGTCACAGTTGAGGGATATGTGTTTATAATTTGTGTTATGACTTACTTGAAATTATGAGCGTGGAGAGTCAGCCGGACAGAAACAGATGCGTCTGCGCGATGCCCGAGGGAACCATCAATACTGTCCACCCCTCAGCGCAGTGTGTGCATGTGCTGCATATTCATGTGTGCATGCATTCGCCTGTCCATAAATGTGCTTTCATCTCCATGTGTGCATGTATGATGTGTTTTGTTTGCAAGAACACAGGGAGTCCTCTAATATCTGCTCCCAAACCATCTATTATGACGTCTTCCCGTTTGTGATCATGCCTTTCCACCACTTAACTGTCCGGCTCTGCAGAAACATTCCTAGGGCACTTTATGGTGGTTTCTTGATTGTGGGTGTGTAAAGGTGCAGTCTGGGGGCCCCTGTCTAGGCAGTTCTAGAAGCCTGTGGTGAGAGCAAGCAGAGGACATGAGAATGGGGCATGGTTGAGTGACACTATTATTTATGGTCTTGGAGTCATGTGTTATTTACAGCTAAGGTAGGAAAAATGTCCAACATAAAGCACACGCTCAACCTACATTTGGTGAGCTTTCTGCAAAGCCAGTAGAGAGGATAAAGCCGTGTCTTAACTTTAAATGTGGGTAAAATTTATTTTTATGAGGTCCTAGTTTTGGCTGCCTTGGTTCGGATTAGCTCCATGCTAACCTGTAGCAGCTAACCTGCAGCCACATGCAAGATCCACATATTATCCGCTTCCTTTTGTATGCTTTAAGCCTTTATTTATCTTAATCTACAGGGAGGATTTATCCAAACCCACCACAAATAAAACTTGCATGACTGCCTTGTTTGTTCCTTTGGAGCGGTTGCTGTATGTATGTAGGTCATTACATGTAAATTGTGAGCTTCAAATTTCACATGCTAACCTTGAGCTGCGCTTCCCAGGAAAAAAACATGACAGCAGATGGTTCTCCCAGAACTAGACCAGGTTATGTGTGTTTTCACTTCACTAATAAAATATACAACGCACTTACTCTGCTAACCCCCACTCCCACACTAGTGCTCTGACTGGTGGGTGGTGGTGGGAGTCTAATTGAAAGAGTATGTATCAGTTTTACAGCAACAAGAGGGAAAATACGAGGGGACAAAAATCAACAAATCTGCCAAAACTAGCCAAATGTTTAGAGTC